TGAGTGTAGACTGTTAATACCAACTTGATGCTGGAAAAATTGTCAAGGAAGAGTGAAGGAAAAAAACCTAAGGAAGTAGCGTTTGTGGTCTAGGGCAGAAGGAACACTTCGGAGAGGGGGGGAGGGAGCCTACTGATGGAAAATAACGTTGAAAAAACCGTAGACGACGAGTGAGAAAAATTAACCTTGGATAGCGATGACAATGGAGTAGGGGTGAAGGAACAACAATGACAAACGACAACATAAGGATGTTTATGGGTATGTTGATAGTAGATAAATCGTTGATGACGACCGAACAACGAAAACCCTAGAGATAGTGGAGTAGGTAATATTCAACAACTTTATTTTTTTGTGAAGAAAAACACTGTAGCAGAATAGATATCGAAAGTTGTTTGATGGTTCGTTGGTTGTCATAGTTGTGTGTATGTTTATACGGTTTTGAGATAAGTATTTGCATAGGGAAAGTAACTATTTTGTTTCTTGGTTCTTCATATTTCAGTGCACTACTAAATGGGTATGTGTTTGGTTCGTAGGATTTGCAAGTGGTGGAGATCAAAAGTGGACATTGAAGCGAAGACGTAAGGTGAGGTGATTTTCTTGGCTTCTCTGTATCCGAGGAGAAATGGTGTTCTGCGTGTACGAGTAGATGAACATATGTGGTTTGGTTGCATTATTGTATGTTATTATGGATTGTTAGTGCTTCATAGTCTTTTGGATTGTTAGTGTTTAGACATACCTATAGTGAAATAAATATACTGTAAATTTAACTTTTATTTTTCTCAGAGATTGTTGAACTACATGTTAGTTGTTATGTTGTTTGGAACTTGATCAATACTACATTTATTTAGGTTGTTTGAAAGAGCTTTGTTGTGCTGTACAATATTAAACATTAAGGAGACGAAGTTTCCGACGTGTTCCTAATACAATGGACCTTATAAGGTTTGTAAAATGATAGAAAAATCCAGCCAAACCGTGGGGCTAGTTTGGTTGAATTGATTATTGGGAGTGCTTGTGTGAATAACTTTTCTTATACATTTTTGGGTGGTAGGATGAACCCGCAACTGTTTAATTTGAAGTTTCAGTTTTTTGGTATTTATTGTAAGATGCGGAATATGGACTCGATGAATTTAGTTACATAGTGTTGATAAAAGATATGAAAAAATGTGTTGTAGGGGAGAATGAGGTCGTTTAGCTTTATCCTTATAAGAAGTTTAGGGTGAAGGCTAGGTTACCGTTGGTTGGGGGAGAAAGGTTTATTAGATACTGATAAGGATGTGGCCTTCATTTTCAAGCAATATGGGTTGAAAAACATTAGGTGTCAACTACAGTTGACTTTGGTAGAAAAAAGAATTGACTTTTTGTATGTTGCCTCTTTGTTCTATGTCTCCAAAGCAGTTTGAGCAAATATGTGGGAAACCATTTATGATGACAAGTAAAATGAAAACCGACAATAGTGGTAGAGCAAAAGCTATGAATGACAACCAACCCTAAATGGAAATGATAGACGACGAGCAAGGAAGAAAACCATTAGGAAGCAAAGATAATGGTGGACGACTGAATGAATGTTGATGACAGTAGACGAGTGTAGACTGTTAACAACAACTCGACACTAGAAAAACTGTTGAGGACGTGCAAAGAAAAAAAAACCTGAGGAAGCAGTGTTCGTGGTCTAGGGTAGAAGGAACACTTCAAAGAGTAAGGAAAGAAGGCTATTGTTAGGAAATGATCTAACCCCTGGCAGCCAAAAAACAAAAATAAAATAGCGATCGATTCCATTTTAAGCCAAGATCATGATACATATATTACAGATGATATGTCAAATCAAATATTCTGCAGTAATATGAATGATCAGAGTAAAGATTAGAGTTCATACGCACGTTTGGAGGCTTCTTCAAACTTGTCTTTGACTGGGTTTGCTATCGATTCAAAACAGAATCGAACTAGTGGTAGTCCATACGAAGGTAACTTGAAGAGCTAAAGAGAGATTTGCTAGATCCTCTTTTGCCTCAAGAACCAAGAACAAGAATTCAATAAAATTTGATTCAACAAAAGTAAAGTGGTGTGAATAGTAAGATGGGGTTGGAGATTTTTCAATGAATAATATAAAATGAATTCACTCATTTAATTCATAAAGCACATGCACTTATATAGTGCATGTGAAACCCTTATTCCATTTAGGAATAGGCTTAGGCATCAACCCAAACAACCCCTTTATGTCCAAACACAAACTGATTCTTAAATTATCTTCTATGTGTGTGACCCGTATACTTCTCATCATATCAGCAGTGTGTAGTATCGTGATTAACACCAATTAATCGTCTCACTACACACAGACTAAGATTGGCCCCTAGCAAGGCATCATGGCCACTCCATAGATTCAGATTCTGCGAAGTAGTTACCTGACAACGATATGGTTATCGTGCAATTCAATCTTTTCATCATCTGTTATCTCATCGAGACTGAGGCACAACAATAGTGTTAATCTCAGTTACTCTTGATATGTATATATTCTGTTACTGGACCAATGACCAAAATAATAAACTGGATTGAGTAATAACTCAATCCCACTATGGCCACAGTTTTTAAATGTCATTATCATTTATTGAATTGCGCTGTGAGATAACTTCTCCCGTACTAGTGAGTGATGAATCCTTTGTTGATCTACCATAGTCTTGATACACTCCTTGATGCAGCCAATCACTACCATATTGACAACTCTAAATAGAACTGCGTTAGACTAGTGTCAAACTACACCAATCGATGCACATGATGCTCTGGTGATCTCAAGTCTAAGGATCACATGCACCACCATTTGTTAGAGGATTTGTTTCATAGACACGGGGTTACCATCCATATGAAATCCTCGAGTGGGTCAGTCTAGTAAACTTGCCTACAGCAAGCACCCATGTGTTGCACCAGGTTGTCACCAAACAACATTGACAAGTGAGATTAGTCACTGCCTTTCGACAGGGTTGTTCAACACTATGATAGCCTTACCGTATTATATGTGTCCTTACTTCAAAATAATACTGGGGCTATGAATGTTTCTAGAATGGCCACCATATGTGCTCATAGGTCCTCACCATCAAGATTTGAAACCTTGTCACGGTTCTACCATTCTAAGAACATATATCAATACATAAAATATGATTTACGCGATATAGAATAAAATGTCTTTTATTGATCAATGAACATTATTACAAAGAGTCAATTCTGCAATAATTGATTGGCTCTAGGGCACCTACTCTAATAGCTATTGACAACGAATAACGTTGGACAAATAGTAGATGACGAGTGAGAAAAATAAACCTAGGATAACGACGACAATGAAGTAACGGTGAAGGAGATAGATCTGAGCATCATATAAATTTGATACTGGGTTCAAGTCTACCTAAAAAGCCCATTACCAAGAAAGAACTTGAAGAACTTCAACAAAAAGTTTATGAATCCCATTATTTTCTTTCAGAACCTGGTTTTTGTCAATAAAAAAAAGTAGCGTGATAAATGCCCTTTTCATAGTCACCATGGAAATCCTCCACTATGGCAAAAGCTATAGTTTTTTTGTGAGGATTCTTTGAGTGAAAGAAAGTGAAAGAAAAGACCTGCTTGGGTTTGTTGCTTTCATGCCCTTGAGTGTGTTATGCTTCAAGATAAGAAGTTGATTTATCGTCGTTAGGTAACAACCACCTATCAAATTCATTAGGCATTAGAAAGATCTATTGGCAAAGCATTTGGTTGATAATCTGTTATTGGATAATTTACTTTTGTCAAAGCATCCCAACTAGCCTTCCTCACCTTACCAGCCCTAGGACTGGGCTTTCTCTCAAGAAGAAGTGTTCACCTTGCAACACAAATAGTTAAGTCCAAAACGAGATGCTAGAGCCGGGCAAAAGGTCAATTACAGTGGTAAAAAAGAGCGATTGAGATTGGATTTCAGGTTTGATAGTGTCGAGCAGGTATTAGCCATTGGTGAGTGTACTTTCGTAAAAACACCATTGGGCGGTGGTTCCTTTCTTTGCTCTTGACCTTGAACAAAACTCACCATTAGCTCGAGTAAGAGTTCCAAATTGAAAAAGTAAACAGAACATGACTTTAGAAGAAGGAACCGAGTGTCGAGAAACAAATGGTTTCTTAAGGTTTCAAACTACTAGTCATTAACACTGCTAGAAAAGAAAAGTAATGAGGTCTTTTTCTTGTACAAGTACGTTGACTATAGATAAATCGTCGATAAAGACCAAAAAAGGAAAACCCTAGAGATAACGGAGTAGGTAATATTCATCAGTTTTATTTTTTTTGGTGAAGAAAAACGCTGTAACAGAATAAATATCAAAAGTTGTTTGATGGTTTGCTGGTTGTTGTAGTTGTGTGTATGTCTATATGGTTTTGAGATAAGTATTTGCTGAGGGAAAGTAACTGAGAAACAGTTGTTGTGTTTCTTGGTTCTTCATATTTGAGTGCACTACTAAATGGGTATGTGTTTGGTTCATAGGATTTGCAAGTGATGGAGATCAAAAGCAGACATTGAAGCAAAGACGTAAGGCAAGGTGATTTTCTTGGCTTCTCTGTATCCGAGGAGAACTAGTGTTCTGCGTGTACGAGTAGATGACATATGTGGTTTGGTTGCATTATTTTATGTTATTATGGATTGTTAGTGCTTCATAGTTTTTTGGATCATGTAACACCCACATGGAGGTACGTAATTTAATTTATTTTTTTATACCCCTTAGTTGATTTGTTAAAGTTATTTTGAGAAAATGTGAAGAAAATGTCTTAAACTTGCATTAAGGGTAAAATGGTATTTTCACTCAAAATTAGTTGAAATTGTAGGGAGTGAAAAGAGATAGAATTTCATGGAGAATGTAATAAATATGAGGGCATTATGGTAATTAACTAAGGAACATAAATGAAATTTTAAAGAAAGTGCAAGGGCAAAATGGGAAACTATATATATATTTATATCAAATTGAAGAGTGAAACCCTAGCCACTCTTTAACCATAAGCACGCCATTTTCACCTCCATATTCTCTCAAGCTCTTAAATTTTTCTTCAAAGAAAATTCATAGATTTTGGGTACGTTTGGGTGGATTTTTAATCCTAAGCATCTTTAGGTAAAATCCTTGCACTAAGAAGTGAGTTTTAATTTTTAAAGTGTTGAATTTTGATGATTTATGTTCATAGGATTTAAGAGGAAGGGAGTTTGATCCAAGAAGGTTTTTAAAGTGTTGGATTGCTCTTGTATAAGGTAAGTAAATCCTACCCAAAGTATGATTTAAGTTATGTGGTGTAGATAATTTCTTTTATGTATACATATGTCTTATATGTAGAAACTGTTGATGGATTTGGTATTGAATAATGATTATAACTTGTCCATGAGTATTTGTGTTGGTGTATTGGATGTTTGATGAATGTTTGGATGAAATTTGGAAGAGGTGGAGTGGAAATTTTGGAGTGTCTCTTTTGGGAAGATTTGGTGTTGAATATGGAGGGTTTAATTCCCAAATTTTGGTGGCTTAGAAAAGAGATAGAAATCTAGCCAAATTAGAGTTACTTTGTGCACATAAGGTGTTTGATGAAATGTCTAAGAGAAGTGTTTATAAGAGTATGATTATGTATTATATTGAGATGAGTTTTTAGATGGTAGAGAATGGCACGTTTGCATTTAAACATGTGAATTTAGAAAGAAGTATAAGCATGAAACCATCTACATGCATGCAAATTCATAAGAGTATGAAAAAGCACTAAAGAATGTCAAAGATTAAATAGAAAGAAATGAGAATGTTAAAAAGTTCCAAATTTGAATTTTAGTTAAAGAAGTGTAAAAAGATAAAAAGAAGGAAAGGTTGTTGCGATGGGGAACCGTGAGTGACAAGAAAAATTTTCCCCACATGCACGCCGCCTTTAGTGAGCGGCTTAAGAAGAAGAAAGAAAAATTGGTACAGTCCGTAAGAGTGCATGTGGATGAGGGCTGTACCCAAGAAAGAAGAATACACTCACACGGCTAAGGTTCTAAATCCATGCCTCAACTAAGTCCGATCGGTAAAAGAATAAGAATAAGAAAAGAATAAGGATAAGAAAAGAAAGGAATAAGAAAGAAGAGAAAAGAATAAGAAAGAAAAGAAAAGAAAAGAATGAGAAAGAATAGAAAGAAAAAAAAAAAAAAAGAGAAAGAAAGAAGCACAAAAAAGAAAGAAAGAAAAGCAGAATAGGAACCGAGAAGAAAGAAAAACAGAAAAGAAAATGCACCTTTTATACAATTGTGCATTTGCATTTTATTTATGCATAATATCATGCCCATTATCTGAGTAGTGAGAAATTAGAATAGAGAAAGAAAAGAGAAATAACAGAGAGAAAAACAGAATAAGAGTAGAGAAAGAATATAGAAGAATAGGGAAATGTGAAGTAAGGAAAGAAATTCAGAATTTAAGCAAAGGAAAGAGAAGGGTAACATATCGGGTTTACTTATTGAGCAATTAGTGCTCACCCCGTTGTTTACAATGTTTTTGCAGGTAACAGGTGAAATGCGGTCATTTGGATCATCACGCAGCGGAAAGGGTTGGGCAAAACTGTCAAGCTAATATTTTGAGACTTATTTGTATTATGTAAAGTTTTGTGTATAAAGAAAATTAAATATGGGCCTATACTTTTATACTCATTTATATACTTTTCTTATATGTATTTAATGAGTTTTTACTGTTATTTTACGAGTATACTAGCTAGAAAGAGAGTCATTACATATCATTAGTGTTTAGACATGCCTATAGTGAAATAAATATACTGTTAATTTAACTTTGATTTTTCTCAGAGATTATTAAACTACATGTTAGTTGTTATGTTGTTTGGAACTTGATCAATACTACATTGTTTTAGGTTGTTGGAAAGAGCTTTATTGTGCTATACAATATTAAACATTAAGGAGACGAAGTTTCCGACATGTTCCTAATACAGTGGGCCTTATAAGGTTTATAAAATGATAGAAAAATCTAGCCAAATTGTGGGGCTGTTTTGGTTTGAATTGATTATTGGGAGTGCTTGTGTGAATAACTTGTCTTATACATTTTTGGGTGGTAGGATGAAACTGCAACTTTTTAATTTGAAGTTTTAGTATTTTGGTATTGATTATAAGATGTGGAAGGACCTCGATGAATTTAGCTACATAGTGTTGATAAAGGATATGAAAAAAATGTGTTGTAGAGGAGAATGAGGTCGTTCAGCTTTATCCTTATAAGAAGTTTAGGGTGAAGGCTAGGTTACTGTTGGTTGGGGGACAAATGTTTATTAGATACTAGTAAGAATGTGGCCTTCATTTTCGAACAATATAGGTTGAAGAACATTAGGTGTTCGCTACAGTTGACTTTGGTAGGCAAAAAACAAATGAATTTTCGTATGTTGCCACATCGTTCTATGTCTTTGAAGCAATTTTAGCAAATTCGCGAGAATCCATTTACCGATGACAAGTAAAACAAAAATCGACGACAGTGGTAGAGTGAGGGCTATGAATGACACCCAACCCTAAATGGAAGTGATAGACGACGGGCAAGGGAGAAAACCATCGGTAAGTGAAGACGATGGAGGAAGACTGAACGAACATCGATGATAGTGGATGAGTGTAGACTGTTAGCAACAACTTGATGTTGGAAAAATTGTCGAGGTCATTCAAAGGAAAAAAAAAAAAACCTAAGGAAGCAACATTCATGGTCTAAGGTAGAAGGAACAATTTGGAGAGTGAGGAGGGAAGGCTATTGATGACAAATAACGTTGGACAAACAATAAGCGACAAGTGAGAAAAATAAACCCAGGATAGCGACAATAATGAGCACCTTATAAATTTAATACCAGGTCTGAGTCGAGTCCGAAAGAACTTGAAGAACTTCAACAACAAGTTCATGAATCCAATTAATTTCTTTCAGAACTTGGTATTGGTCAATAGAAAAAAGTAGCGTGGTAAATGTCATTTCCATAATCACCAGGGAAATCCTTGATAGTGGCAAAAGCTGTAGTTTTTTTTTTGTAAGGATTCCTTGAGTAAAAGAAAGTCAAAGAAAAGATCGGCTTAACTATGTTGCTTTCACGCCCTTGGGTGTGTTATGCTTCAAGACAGGAAGTTGATTTATCGTCGTTAGGTAACAACCACCTATCAAATTCATTAGGCATTAGAAAGACCTATTAGCAAAGCATCTGGTTGATAATTTGCTACTGGATAATTTACTTTTGTTGAAGCATCCCAACTAGCCTTCCTCACCCTACCAGCCCTAGTACAGAACTTTCTCTCAAGAAGAAGTGTTTGCCTTGCAGCACAAATAGTTAAGTCCCAAACGAGATGTTGGAGTCGAGTTAAAGGTCAATTACAGTGGTAAAATAAACGATTGAGAGTGGATTTCAGGTTCGATAGTGTCGAGAAGGTATTAGCCATTGGTGACCATACTTTCGTAAAAGCACCATTGGGCATTGGTTCTTCTGTTTTCTCTTGAACCTTGAACAAAACTTGCCATCAGCTCGACTTAGAGTTTCAATTTGAAAAAGTAAACAGAACTTAACTTAAGACATAGGAACCGAGGTGTAAAAAAAAAAAAAAAAAAAAAAAAAAACAGTTTCTTAAGGTTTCAAACTACTAGTCATTAGGACTACTAGAAAGAAAAGAAAGGAAGTCATTTTTCTGTACAGGTACGTGACAGTAGCAAATCATCAACTAAAGTGAACAATGAAAACCTACCATTGTCAGGGGAGAAATATTTATTAGATATGATGAGGATATAAACCTTCATTTTCGAGCAATATGGGTCGAACAATATTAGGGTTCGCTACAGTTGACTTTGGCAGAAAAAAAGAGAATGACTTTTCGTATGTTACCTCTTCGTTCTATGTCTCTAAAGCAATTTGAGCAAATCTGTAGGAAAACTGACGACGACAGTAAAACAAAAACCGAGGCAATGGTAGAGTGAAGGTTGTGAACGACAATCAACCTAAATGAAAACCATAGACGAGCGAGGGAGAAAACCATCGGGAAGTGAAGATGGTGGATGTCAACTGATAAACGTTGGCGATAATGGACAAGTGTAGACTGTTAGTAGCAACTTCAGTTGGAAAACTGTTGAGGACGGTGAAGGAAAAAAAAAAAAAAAACCTATGGAAAGCAGCGTTCGTGGGGGACTTTATCAGGTCATATAAAGGGAGTTGTGTTAAGAAGCTCTTAGATGCTGAATTAGGAAATATGCATTTTTTGGAGATACATAAACGAAAGTTGTATAGGGCTAGGAGAATGGCCATCAAAATGACCCAAAAACAAAATACTGAGTCTCTTCCCTTGTTGAACAAGTACACCCACGTTCTTCAGGTTATCAACCTTGGATCCATGACAGAACTTAGGTTGATTAGAGAACAAGGCCTAGAAAGTCCTAAATTTAAGAGATTTTTTCTAAGTTTTGCTGCTTAGAAAAAAGGATTTCTAGAGGGGTGTAGACAATTTATAAGGATTGATGGGTGTCATTTGAAAGGTTAATATGATGGGGTACTTCTATCAACAATCTCGATGGATGTAAACAGTGGGATATTCCCTTTGACAATGTGTGTTTTTAAGGTGGAGAATAATAACTCGTGGGGCATCTTCCTTCGACTATTGTATGATTTTTTGGGTGATTTAAAACATGTCACATTCATGAGTGATAGGTAGAAGGGTATTCTAAATGCATTAGAAGTTGAGTGGCCAAATGCAAGAAGTCGATTCTGTGCTCAACATGTGTATGCTAACTTCAAAAAGAATTTTCCTAGTGTTCACGCCAGGAAATTGTTTTGTTCAATGAGTAAGGTTGCAAATAAGATAGATTTTGTTGAGGCCATGGGTAGCGTCAAGGATGTAAATGAGGTTGCATACAAATGGTTGCTTGAAAATGAATCTAACTAATGGTCTAGACATGCCTTTGACACAGTAACAAAGTCAGACCACATTTCCAACAACATGAGTGAATGCTTCAATTCATGGTTGGTGAAGACAGGGAAATTCCCATACTAAGTCTACTGGAGTTTTACGGATGTAGGGTAATGAAGCAATTATAGTGACGATTCAAAACCGGTATGGAGTGGATTACACATCTTCCACTAGTGATTCACAAAAAGATTAACAAGTTGATTAAGTCAGCAAAAAATGTCGATATCATGTACCTTGGATTTGATGAGTTTGAAGTCCTTAGTAAGAATGTGCTAAGAAAACATGTTCTGGTTTTAAGTAACCAAGTGTGTGATTGTGGGTGGTAGCCAACGGGAAGTCTTTGTGTTCATGCTATAAGTTGTTTGTTACCCATGAACATTTCCAACTTTGAATATCATGTTGATCATAAGCTTAGATTCTCGATGTTCCTGCAAACTTATGTAGACATGATCCACCTTGTCCTCTACAAGACTAGTTGGCCAGTGGTCAATGATGAATATATATATGGCCACCATATAAGTAGCTCAAGCTTGGCAAACCTTCGAAGTCAAGAAAGAGAGATCCAATTGAAGAGTTGAAAACTAAAAGGTTTTCTACACTTAGGTGTAGGTGTAGTGTCTATAGTGTCATGGGGCATAACAAAAGGTCTTGCAAAAAATCTAGCAAATACAGATAAAAGGAAGAAGCAGAAGGTAACAGTAAAAAGTCCATTTCATCATAATTTTTTTTTTCTAATGATTATCATACTAATATTGTTTTCCATTTTTTCATTTTGCAGTGAACTTTTGTGCCCACCATGATTGCACCCTCTTCAGCAGCTTGGTTTGCAGCATCTTCAATGCCTTCTTCAACTCAGATGTCAACCTTTTCACAAGCTTCAAGATCAAGAGGTACTTACAACTGTTTTACATCATACTTTTTACCTTCCCTAACATTATTCTTACTCCTCTTAATAGGTCGACCAAGTTAGTGATGCAATGGGGGAGTTTTTTTGTTTGGTGCAACAATAGGTTGCTTTTGGTATGCAACACTAGTGGTATGAAATTTGGGCATACTATTTTTTGGTGGTTGGATTTTGACAATATTTGTATGGGTATACAACACTTGTGTATGGTAAACTTGTTTGATTATTTTTTGTGGTTGAATTTTGGCAATACTTATTTAGGTATGTAGCTCTTGTGCATGTAAAATTGTTTGATTCTGTCTTTTTTTTCTTTTTTTTTTTTGGTGGTTGAATTTTGATATAATATGTTTTAATAAAAGCACTTGGGGCTTGGTAAATTCGGCTGCTTGTTTTTTATGGTCAGATTTTGGCCTAATTAGTTTGGGTAGGCAACAGTTGTGCATGGTAAATTTTCTAAAAAAACTTTTTGTGTTTTTATTTGTTTGTTTTCTCTTTTGTAATCTTAATTGTTGTTGCTATATAGCCTATATTTCTATTTTCTTATCATCTTTTTGTTTTGTTATTGAAAACCATGGTTTATCTTTTTGTCTATCTACACTTTTTCGGAGATCAGATTTGCGAAGCCCATGGAGGAGATAATTTCTAAGCCTATGTTAGAGCGATAGGCTAGACTTCAAGAGCAGTTGAATTATTGAAGATGTAACTCAACGAATACAAAGTTGTTAAAGATTAACGCAACATTTAGGAGTTGGTAATAGAAGCATCTTGGAAATTGCTCTTTTTTTTCCATTGTATGCCTTCATTGTAAACACA